CTCTCAGCCAAACCAGTGATTTCAGCTCTCAAATGAATCCAGCTTTCACTGGACTAGCAAAAGAAAAAACTCCTCAGGGAGTCTGCTTTAGGTCTGTCCTTAAAACAAAGGGGGAAAGGTGCAGGCTGGGCCAGTCTTATAGCTCACACCTGGTAGGTGTGAAGCAGGCTGACTCAAGTCTTTTAACCCTGTCCCCCAGCTCTGTTCTCTCAACTCTGGAAGGGGGGAGGCTTGTTCTTCCGAGACCTCTTTCCATGATGGCGGTGTCTCTCCTGCAAGCTCTGGTGGCATGTTTTACAGTTCCCACATTTAGGGGTAGCATGATTAGTTACCCCCACAACAGTCCCAAATTATATACAATTCTCCACATCCCATTCCAACACTGACCTTCCATCAGCCCTGGCTGAATGGGATTTTTACATAGCCACACCTTGGATTCTCTCCTGAGCAGTATTTACATGTCAACAGTTAACAGTTAATTACCTTGCAGAGCTAAACAACAGTAGTGGGCACACCCACCCCTCCTTTTAGCTGGCTGATAGCAAGCAGCAGTTCAGCCCCTGCTTACACATATATTAGAGTTTACTACAGAACATTATCAAATGAATCTCTGCCCAGCTGGTACAAGTCTGCCCCTCAGTACCTAGGCTCAGTGAGGGGCCAGGACATGACAAGATTTTCTCAAGACAGGGTCCTCTGCTGTGAACTCCTTTATGGACGTATGTTACAGTCTCAGGATGTCTGTCTTTAGGATACATTGCAAGTCCTACCTGACTCTTTGACCTACTTTTGACCATTTTGAGGACCCATCTTCCTCATCCTGCCCATTAATCAGTTTTTATTAATTGGGAGGAGGGGTTGTTAGTGGGACTGTTGGATTCTCTCCTAGCCAAGCTTACTTCTGTTTGCGGGCTGGTTGGTTGTTTTTAAGTATTGTAATTTGGTTTTAATAGTGTGACTCTTGAACACTTTGCTAATTAGTTGCTTTTATAAATGGATTAAATACTTAAAAATTAGTTTCTGGAGACCTACAAGTTACAAGCTTTCCTTCAACTCAGCACCATGGGTTTTACATTCAGATGAAAATGCTATGAGAGAACCCCATATGGTTATAAAGTTAAATATTGTCTTTGAAACAATTAATTAATCAGTTAGGAGGAGAGAGTGCATGTTAATTCTGTAAATTTGCGTGCACACCTCTTGTGCTGCATAAATGCTTTAAAAAGACTTTCACAGCCTTTCAAATATAACGTTCTGTGACTTCTGAGAGTTAAATAGGAAAAAGCTGATTCCTCCTAAACAGTGTGGAGACAGTCCAGTCAGTATTAAAGCTCAGGACAGTGATGCATCCAGTTCCAACTGGAACTGGTTTCTGATCCCTGCTGGAGGGAAGATGATGAGGATGAAGGGTACAGGAGATACAGGAAGCCAAAGCCCAATTTCTTTCTTTGAAGCAGATGTGGTGTTTCCACTGATGTCTGCAAAAATATTTTTTGAAATTTTGTTATATGTATTTAACTAAAGAACAAACTTGACATTGCCTAGTCTCTAAATGCTTCTTGGATTTTATTTTGAAAAATGAATGTATTACATTTTCACAGGGTTTTTGTGTGCATTTCCTTCCAGATAGGCATTTGTCAAAAAGTTTTAAAAACTAAAGAAATTGTAAAATGTTTAAACAATTATTTTTAATTGTCAAAGGAAAAATGCAGGAAATGTAGAATTAGAGATGCTAGACTACCTTTGCTTGTGCTGTTGTATATATTTC